TGAATGTATAATACATTTTAAAATGAAAATAACTGACAAAATGATTTGCTAAGCACAATTATCAATTGTCAGCCCTAGTCTAGACAAATGTTCATTCTGCAATCTCTGCGTTTTGTGATCCCTGTAGGATTACTATGGAATCACATTCCCAGGGCCGACTCCTACGCTGTCTGGCAGAGATGGAAGCCTCGCCAACAACCCTTACTCAGGTACCGCATTGCTATATTCAGTTGCTTTTTATCGGTCTGGAAGCTTTGATTCATGATATCTGTGTAGATTAAAGCAGAAAATAAAAAGTATCTGGTATTCTTTTTTTCTCCACTCAGGTGACATCACAAAGTTTGGCCGAGGTGAATCCGCCTCACCAGCACCCTCTGCCAGCCTGTCTGCTGCTCACGGCCCACAGACGGCACAGCCTCCGCAGGCTCAGAGCCAAGGACAGAACCAGCCCCAGCCGCAGGGCCACCACAACACCCAACAGACCTTTCTAAACCCAGCCCTCCCCCCTGGATACAGCTATACAGGCCTTCCCTACTACCCCGGGGTGCCTGGCGTGCCCAGCGCATTCCAGTATGGCCCCACCATGTTCGTGCCCCCTAGCTCGGCCAAGCAGCATGGCATGGGTCTGAGCAACCCCACCACGCCATTCCAGCAGCCCAGCGGCTACGGCCAGCACGCCTTCAGCTCAGGTTTGTGCCGATTAGACACATGCACACATTCACATGCATACTCTGTGCTGTTGAGTGTTAAAGTATTTTGTCTATTTCAAGGGTATGATGACCTGACGCAAGGCCCAGCAGGAACTGAGTACAGCAAAGGCTACAGTAACTCTTCTCAAACACAGGCCAAATCTGCTGCCTCTGGCCCAGGGAAAGGTACAAACACACCATCTCAGTTTTTATCTATAAATTGACCCTATCCACTAAATTAAAATAATTGATGCATCAATTTGTGTCCCAGTTGTCTCTGTGACATCTAGCAATTCTGGGGTGCCAGACATCAGTGGAACTGTTTACAATAAAACACAGGTGCTTTAATTAATTTATGCTTTACACACACATATACACTACCGTTCAAAAGTTTGCGGTTGGTAAGATGTTTTTGTAGGTTGGTAAGATGTTTAAGTATTTGATCAGAAATACTTTTCTATTGCAATGTATTTTAAAATGTAATTTGTTCCTGTGATGCAGCCATTCATTTAGCATCACATATGATCCTTCAGTTGAAAAGAACAGCATTCTAAAATAGAAATATCTTTGAACATTATAAATGTTTTTATAGTCACTTTTGATCAGTGTAATGCTTCCTTGCTGAATAAGAAAAAAAAACTGACCCTAAACTTTTCTATAAATATAAATGCATGTATATAAAGAGAGAAATATTAGTTATATAATGTGTGTGTATATGTCCGTGTACTTTTTTCCTGCAGCCGTTTGATAAGCAGGGTTTCCATGCTGGCACACCTCCTCCTTTCAACCTCCCCTCGGCTCTGGGCGGCACGGGACCTTTGACCCCTGGTGCTGCCCCTGGTTATCCTGCTCCATTCCTTCACATTCTGCCGGCACACCAGCAGCCCCACTCACAGCTGCTCCATCATCACCTCACCCAGGACGGACAGGTCAGTCCCTGTCTATTCACACAAAGTCTGACATTTTGAAATAATGCATGTCAAACAAAACCCTTATACAGAGTCTGAGATATTATTTAAATGTACATCAACCAAAACGGACAAAAATGAATAAATGTATTTTATACTTTTACTGTAATTTCAGTCACAGAGAACATGGCTATACTGTCTTCAAGTATTAGGATTTTATAGATGTAAGTACAAAAGTTGTCAACATGGTAACCTTTCCCCCTTGTAACCTCATCCGTTTGGTGTGTCTTCACGTAGGGTGGGCCAAACCAGAGAAGCCAGTCTAGCGTCATGCAGCAGAAGACCCAGGTCAACAAGTCCAACTATGGCAGCTCTCCCTACTGGGGCAACTGAGCACAGTCCAGGTGCCGTCCCGCACCCAACGACACGCCGATCAGAGCAGAGGGACGCCCGTACACTACCATCATCCTCCTCCTCCTCCTACATTCTCATCTCCCCTTTTCAAAGTTTTGGCTGTTGTATGTAAAGTATATTTATGTATGTATTTATACAGTATATATGTATTGGTAGAATATAAAATGTGGTTTTTCTGCATTTTGTTTTTGAAGGAATTTTCTTTCTTTTTTTTTCATTGCTAACTGGTTAAGAGGATATGATGACAGAAGTGATGAGAACATAACAGAAGAGTGAATATACTTGAAGCAGAGCAGGCATCATGATTTAAACATGGGAGTTTTTATTTGTATACATACCCCTGATAATGTATGTACATTACTGCTAAGCTTGATCACTTGATGGTGAAGCCTTTTTTTAACTTTTGTATTTTGCTCCTCTCCCACCCCCCCCCCCCCCCCCCCCTTCACCTGTGAACTTTTTTTCTATCGAGGGGGATTTTTAATTTCAGTTCTTCATTTTGTTCCCTCTGCCCTTCATTTGTGAAATCCCTCCCACCCACCAAATTGGCTAAATGGTAGCATTTTAGACCAGATTTCATTTTAACATTGGTTTTACCCTTGTTGTCAAAATAAAACTGTCCAGTTTACTCGTTTCAGTCTGATTTTGCACACACACAGTACTTCTGCACACATGAGCAGTAATAAGAATATATTTTATTTATTAAAAATATATTGCCATGAGGAAAAAAACTCACACTTTTTGTAAAACTTGTGATTGGAGGTTAATTTAAAATTAATTCATTATGGGGCTTAGATTAAGAACTAGGCCTTATTAGGACATTTAAGTAGCTTTTATAAATGTGCCTTAAAAAAACATTACTGAACACTGGAGAAGAAATTGTTGAATAAAGTAGTTATTTGTATTTTTTGCACAGTATTATAGTCGCAAATGTACACTTCAAAAGTTTGAGGACAGGAAGATGCTTATTTTATACATGAGTTCAAACTATTGCAGTAACAATTTTCACCATATTATATGGTAGTTAACATGCTAATATTGCTGACTAATTTGTATAATTATAAATTAATATAAACAAATTTATAAGATTAATCTTAAATGCTAAGGTGCATTAAACTCTGTAAATACATCTAACTGTAACATCTCTATAGTGTGTCTCTTCTTTAAAATGTAAGATTTAAAGGATTAGTTCACCCAAAAATTAAAATTGTCATAATTTACTCATCCAGGACCTTAAGTTGACAGTAGCCATTGACTTCCATAGTAGGGAAAAAAATACCATGGAAGTCAATGGCTAGAGTCAACTGTCGGGTTACAGACCTTCAAAATATATTTTTAGTTCAACAGAAGAAACTCATACAAGTTTGAAACAAGGGTGAGTAAATAACAGAATTTTCACTTTTGGGTGAACGATCCCTTTAACGTACAACTTAACATTACCCAAGATTAACTGCTATATATATATATATATAAAAAAGTTAATTGTCATGTTAGCCATTACATTAACTACTGTATAAACTTGACTCCTTTGTAAAGTTGTTTATTTGTTAATGCCATGTCATCTTCTAACAGCAATTAACATGACAGGAACAGCTTAAGTTACACAATCACATTAATTTATTGAAATGCCAATCATTTATGCATTATGCATCATTAGATGGAGTACTTGCTAATAACGGCTAGGTAGACACCACATGTATGATACCAGTTCATTTTCCATCTCTGTAAATAAATTTCAGTACGTGCAACTATAAAAATATGCTTTACTACAAACAGTTCCAAATCAGATTAATGAATAATCAAACCAGCACACTTCAAGAAAAACCTTTTCATCAATTAAAAGCATGTGACATTTAAAGTGAAACTCAGATGGCAAGCTTTGAAATATTTTCACTGATGCCAAAGGGCCGTCATTTTATTAGAGCAAGGCACGTAAATGAACGGTTTCAGAAAGGTGCTTCGAGAATGACAGGAAATAAAAGCAGTTTGTATAAAAAAAACACATGATAGCTCAATGCCTTACTTTTCTTGCGCACAGCTCTCAAACATCTTATTCTTGAGTCCAACATTCAAAAAAAATATATAACTGTACAATACTGAAAGTCCAGTCAGAAGGAACACGCTTATTCATCCTCCTCAGCCTACTTTTTCTTTTTTTTCTTTTTCTTCTCCACCTGTGTCACATCAGCCTCCTCCGTCACCTCAGGCTCCGCCTCCACGGCATCAATCGTCCTCTTCTTTTTCTTAGAAGGCGTGGCCTCGCCACCGTTTGTCGTGACCTCTTCCTCCACCTCTGGCGTCTCCTCAGCTGCCGGCTTCTTTTTCTTTTTCTTCTTTATGGAATCCGGTTTCTCCTGAAGAACAAAAGGAAGCCATTAACACAACGTATGAAACGGACTTCAGATTATCAAGCTCAGAGATGATCATGTCCTGCTCACTTCAGTGATCAAACCCACAGAGTTGGGCCTGTCAATGGTTCGGAGGAGATTTGCTTTAGCATGACAAGATATGAGACAGGTCCATGAGAAGGTCCAGCCTCCAGTATAGCCATGCTACATGTCTTTCAATCTTTTTAGATGCCATGGAACCCAAAATATGACCACTTTTAAAAAAGGCATCAATGCTAAAATTATACGCAGCAGTATAGTGAAAAAAAAGAAACTAAGGTATATTTAAACCAATCTTATATGATTGTCATTTAAAATCAAGTTACGTGAATAATTTGAAACGTTATTTTATACCCCTGTGCTAAATGACACAGATGAAATGTTATTCACAAGTACCTCAGCATCGCCATTGGCTTTCTCATCATCTCCTTCTGCTGTGGAAAGAGCTTCCAGTTTCCTCTTTTCACGCTTCTTTTTCTTCTTTTCCTTCTTCTCGAGTTTGCGCTTGATTTCAGCAGTCACCTCAGTGGCCTGCGGGCGAGAAAAAAAGTTAATGTATCTGCATTTGTACAAGCCTAGTGAAACCCAAACTTCACAGTGCTGTGTCAGGCTCATTAAATCAGTAAAGCCTCCATGTAGGAGTCAGGAAAGAAGAATCATCACTCACAGCACTTCCGGAAACTATAGTAACAACGATTTATAGTGAGAAATATTCACAATCAGCACTTTAAAAGGCATTATTAGCTATGAAAAAGCAGTTACAAAGGCAGCTCACTACCTTTAAGTGGCACAAGTCAACACATTCAAACTACACTACATCGAACCCACGTCAAAAAAAAAAGAATTGTTGCATTTAGTGATATTATCAGATAATATTTCAAGCAAAAAAGTTTCATTAACTTGGATACATTAGATAGTTATTGGGCATGAATAACGTTACATTACCAGCATGCTAGCTAAAATGAAACCTTTTAAGTGACTAATAATCTGCCCATGTTGTTCTGGTTTCTGAACACTGCTATGGTTGAGTTGTCACCTCTGCAACAGCTTCTTTCATGACATCCAGGTTCTTCCGTGGGGCTTCACCGGTCTCATAGAAGGCCAGACGTTCTTCTACTTGACCACGTAGCTTGTCACCAAACACACACGTGGGAACCTCTGTGTGAACAGAACGAAGACATCAAGATAACAAACAAGTACTACTGAAAATGTGTTTGGCCCAAAGTTCTGCTCAGGATTACAATTTCAACAACCACTGAGGTGGGTTACTGTTGACGAAAAATAAAAGCATCATAGCAAAAGCCAAGCAGAGGTTACCAAATAAACGAGGGAAGATGGGATCCTCACCAGAAAAGCAGTCAATGCGTGATGCAATGGTGCACTTGTTGGCCAGGTAACGCGAGATGCGACCCTTGTTCTTGGCAGCGGCACGCCCAATGAACGTCGAATGGAAAATGAGACCGTACTTTGGGGTGTTTCCTTTGGTCTTCAGCGCCCTAATTCACAGGACAGAACAAAATCCATCTACAACGGCCGTCTCAGACGCATCAATTTAGTGATGCACCAAATTTTAGTACGGAACCCAAAATTAAAGATCTCATTTTGCCAAATTTTTTTTTTTTTTTTTTTTTAAATACATTTTGTTAATTAAATTGGGTAACTGAACTCTGTATGCTGTACAGAATGTTATGACCAATTAAACCAGTCGTAGTAAATTTAGAGAGGCTAACTAACTTACTTTACATATTACTACTATAGGATCATAAAACGATTTCAGCCAAAAAAAAAAGTTTGCGCCGTTTCGGCCAAATATTTTCATATGCCAAAATGGTGCATCAATATCTAAAATTACTGAAAATATACTACTATACTAGAAACTCAAGGACTACTTCGTGATCAAAAATCAGAGTTGTGTGTTTAACAGGACATCTTCAAATGTATCTACCTCTCAAAACCCTCAGCAGCTGCTCAGACTGGGGGGGGGGGGTTACGTGAGATCGAGCGGGATCATTTTACAGTGTGTTCGATGACACCCCAAATCACCCGCTCCTGCTACGCCCCGGCCCTGCCATCACTGCAGCTGTGTGAAACCCCAGCAGGGAAGGGGAGCCCCAGTACCTGAACAGGGCCTTCTCTGCCCCCAGGATCTGCACGGTGGAGGCGGGATATTTGGCCAGGTTTGTCAAACTGCCAGCGTGAGAGATGAGACGGGCACCAACCTATTAAAAGAAAAATAAATGTCAAAGAACATTTATGATCAGGTTAATCTTAAAGAAATGTCCAGGGGACACATTTTTCACTTTAACAATACAATTATATATTTTAAGAAATATGCTTTTTCAATGTCCGTTGTACAAAATTGTATAATTATTGGCCTAGTTTCACAAACCAGGCTTATATTAAGCCAGGATTGGGCCTTAGTTCAATAAGGACATTTAAAGCAGCACTAAGTAGGAATTCCGTTTTTGTCAAACAGCGACCCCTAGAGACGCTGTGGAGTACTTGTACTGTCGTGAATAGCACTCACGGCCGGATCCCCTCCCCCTGTACACCGGGTACCTGTTCAGTAGGATGGACGCTGTAACAAGTGGAAATAAGGTATGGCCCCTTTAAGAGCTGCGCGCCCTGTTTAACTGTCGGCAGTCTGTATTGTATGTGCGCCTCGGTTATTTCTGTTTGATGCTCATTTTATCAGATCTGCCCGCCGGCCCAAAGTTGCAAGAGTGGTTTTGCGGCTCACAGGCACCAGGGGGGTGCGAGACGACCACCATTCAACACGAAATCAGTAATATAAACATTACAACGACTCCAAAGCTGTTCAGTTAAGGTAAAAAAGTTACTTCGTTCACCTTTAAGTAGCTTTTATAAACATGCCTTCAACATTACTGCAGTGCACCTTGAGAAAAAACAATGGCACTGACATTAAGATATCTCAGTGCAAGTTGACGTGGCTTCCAGGTAAAACAGCTCAAACATGCATTTTACTCTGGGATGCGGAGACAAACACATACCACGTCACCAATGAGAGCCGCGAGATTTGGGGCCACCTGGCCCATTTTGGATCGCAGGTACTCTTGCAGTTCCTGTCTGTAGTTTGTGAGAGATATCACACGATTGGAGAAGCTCTCAATGTTGATCAGGTCAATAGGAGAGATATCCATACCTTTAGAAAAAAACAATGACACAAACTTAGTACAAATCAATGGAACACTTAAACTGGTTGAGCTAAAGTGACTCAAAGGTTCAGTAAATGAGGTATGTTGTCAACACATGGTTTCAGTGGATTGACAGATTATTATAACATCATAACATCCGAGACACTCACACAGAGCTATATTCATGACATCAGTGAGCTCATCTTACCCATAGAGCTTCGGGACGCGTCAAGGACGGCCTGAGCTTTGGCACTGTCCATTGTGATCTCCTCCATAGCTTCCAGCATCTCCTCATTCAGTTCCTTCCTGTTCCCGATCAGCTTGGCCATCTTACAGTATGTACTGTTATCGCTCACTATCTTTATTAGCTCTGGGAAGTGGTAACCGTACCATTCACTGCACAGATAAAAGAAAGAATTAGGAACTGTGCCAAAGGGCTGCACTATTTGGAAAAATAAATAGCAATTTCTCTTATTACTGGGACTACATTTAAAAAATGTTTTACAACATTGTTAAAAACTCCAGATTTGATTAATACTACAACTAGGGATGTCCCGATCCGATACTCAGGATCGGTATCGGCTCCGATACTGCCATTTTTGCGGGATCGGGTATCGATCAGACATCGATCAGACGAGGCCGATCCAAATCCGATATTGTGGGTATACTATTATGTGTTATTGTTAAGCCCCACAAAATGCACAAAAACATTCTAAAGTACCATAACGTTTTCGTGCACTCTATTATAAGTGTTCTGTAACTATTATGTGAGATATAAATTAATATTTAAGTCATTAAATTCAAGATCACGTAAATTTTTCCCTCTCGCGGCTGTCAGTCATTCTCCATTCAGCATTCAAACAGCGCGTCGCGTTCGGTTGCAGTCAATGATGAAACTATCTTCAAGATGATTCAATGTTAATACTATTATACTTGATCTGTAAGATAAAGGTCTATGTTTTCGCATAAAACAACTTTATCTTGCTGGACTTTATTGCTGTAACTCAATCGTGTTACTCTCTACCGGGTGTCGGACGCTGTCAGTTTGATCACAACACTAGAGTCAGAGCACTATAATTGTTCTTCACGCGCACAGTAACTGAAATTTAAAACTGTTAAAAGAAAAGGCTCAATAAACGATTGCATAGATAGATACTGTATAATACACTGTCCATCAATATGTATCTCCGTTGTGCTTTGAACTTTTCAAAGCGGACTCGACGCGCTGCGTGCTGTAACTCCACGTGGCTTCAAGCGCATCATTCTCCGCTCGGGATGCGCATAAGCGCTTTGTGCCGCACTGTATTGGAGCCTTTCATATCATAATGCATTGACGCAATTAAAGCTTATTAACATTAATAATTATTAATGTTGCTGCCTCATTAAATAGCTGTGCAATACACTTAAAACATGTCTCAATTTTATAGCAGATTTAGCTATATCTAAAATAATTATCTTTTTCATTTTTGTTATCTTGTTTTTCATGAATGTATTTTACAACAATAAAAAGAGCAATGTGTATTATCCACTAATCTAGTTTATAATAGCATTTTTGTCATAGATTATGATCATATATTTTGGGGATTTGTTGTTTATCTTTATAATGAAGCTGTCTGTATTAAGTAGATTGTGTTTAACACACACAAGAGTGATAATCAGTTTAACACACAGTTATAGATATTCTACTTGATTTAAAAAACAAAAACTGTACTGGTATTTACAATGTAGAATGCTGCTGTTTAAATTGTTTTAACTTTAAACCTGTTGGTAGCTAGCTAGCTTTAAGTACTGAAGTACCTGTATTTTCTTTCATTTATATATTTCTTTATTTTTTTGTAGTGTTTGAATAAAGGGTGGCAATCTTTCATAATCAACTGTTGTTGTGGACTATATAGGAGGTATATTTTAGGTGGCTAATTGAGAAAATTGCTATATTTTTTATTAGTTTAAGAATAAAATAAAAATATCGGATTAATATCGGTATCGGCAAAAGCCAAAGCTGCGGCATCGGTATCGGTATCGGAAGTGAAAAAGTGGTATCGGGACATCCCTAACTACAACTATTATTATTAAGTTATTACCAAAAATTCTCATTTTACTGTACAAAAACACTATGAAAGAAATAAACTAATGCAATATTAAAAAGTATGGCTTTCATTTTCAGGGCTTAAACTAAGCTTTAATTTACGATTGGATGATCTAACTAAGCCATAATCACAATATCTTGATTATTTTGATTAATCGTGAGCCCATACATTACGAAATCTAAGCTCCAAATAACGGGTGTGAAGCCACTCAAAGGTCTGTCTCCCCCTCAGGTTGTGTTCGTTCCAGTTTGAGGGACCAAACACCCCAGAGGAAGGACTTTACTGTGCCTCCACTTTCTGTACAGCCAGTGCACTAGGGGGCGCTGTCTGTGGTAAGCATTAGGAGGCGGCTGGATTAGATCCAACTAGAGGAAAGTCCCACAAAAAAACATCTTACCGCACACGCATGGAGAACGTGTTGATGTC